AACCCGGAGCCTGCTGTATAAGTGGAACCCTCCTGTACAGCAGCAACCCAGAACTTAACCTGCTGTATAAGCGGGACCCTCCTGTACAGCAGCAACCCAGAACTTAACCTGCTGTATAAGTGGGACCCTCCTGTACAGCAGTAACCCAGAACTTAAAACCCGCTGTATAAGCGGGACCCTCCTGTACAGCAGTAACCCAGAACTTAACCTGCTGTATAAGTGGGACCCTCCTGTACAGCAGTAACCCAGAACTTAACCTGCTGTATAAGTGGGACGCTCCTGTACAGCAGTAATCCAGAACTTAACCTGCTGTATAAGCGGGACTCTCCTGTACAGCAGTAACCCAGAACTTAACCTGCTGTATAAGCGGGACCATCCTGTACAGCAGTAACCCAGAACTAAACCTGGTGTATAAGCGGGACCAACCTGCACAGCAGTAACCCAGAACTTAACCTGCTGTATAAGCAGGACCATCCTGTACAGCAGTAACCCAGAACTTAACCTGCTGTATAAGCGGGACCCTCCTGTACAGCAGCAACCCGGAGCCTGCTGTATAAGCGGGACCCTCCTGTACAGCTGTAACCTATAACCTGCTGTATAAGCGGGACCCTCCTGTACAGCAGCAACCCGGAGCCTGCTGTATAAGCGGGACCCTCCTGTGAAGCAGTAACCTATAACCTGCTGTATAACCGGGACCCTCCTGTACAGCAGCAACCCGGAGCCTGCTGTATAAGCAGGATGCTCCTGTACAGCAGTAACCCGGAGCCTGCTGTATATGCGGGGCCCTCCTGTACAGCAGCAACCCAGAGCCTGCTGTATAAGCGGAGCCCTCCTGTACAGCAGCAACCCAGAGCCTGCTGTATAAGCGGGGCCCTCCTGTACAGCAGCAACACGGAACCTCCTGTATAAGCAGGACCCTCCTGTACAGCAGTAACCCAGAACTTAACCTGCTGTATAAGCGGGACCCTCCTGTACAGCAGTAACCCAGAACTTAACCTGCTGTATAAGCGGGACTCTCCTGTACAGCAGTAACCCGGAATTTAACCTGCTGTATAAGCGGGACCCTCCTGTACAGCAGTAACCTGGAACTTAACCTGCTGTATAAGCGGGACTCTCCTGTACAGCAGTAACCCGGAATTTAACCTGCTGTATAAGCGGGACCCTCCTGTACAGCAGTAACCTGGAACTTAACCTGCTGTATAAGTGGGACCCTCCTGTACAGCAGTAACCTGGAACTTAACCTGCTGTATAAGCGGGGCTCTCCTGTACAGCAGTAACCTGGAACTTAACCTGCTGTATAAGCGGGACCCTCCTGTACAGCAGTAACCTGGAACTTAACCTGCTGTATAAGCGGGACCCTCCTGTACAGCAGTAACCTGGAACTTAACCTGCTGTATAAGCGGGACCTCCTGTACAAACAGTAACCTGGAAACTTAACCTGCTGTATAAGCGGGGACCCTCCTGTACAGAAATAACCCGGAACTTAACCTGCTGTATAAGCGGGACCCTCCTGTACAGCAGTAACCAGAACTTAACCTGCTTTTAAAAAAGCGGGACCCTCCTGTACAGCATAACCTGGGAAATTAACCTGCTGTATAAGCGGGACCTCCTGTACAGCAGTAACCTGGAACTTAACCTGCTGTATAAGCGGGACCCTCCTGTACAGCAGTAACCTGGAACTTAACCTGCTGTATAAGCGGGACCCTCCTGTACAGCAGTAACCTGGAACTTAACCTGCTGTATAAGCGGGGCCCTCCTGTACAGCAGTAACCTGGAACTTAACCTGCTGTATAAGCGGGACCCTCCTGTACAGCAGTAACCTGGAACTTAACCTGCTGTATAAGCGGGACCCTCCTGTACAGCAGTAACCTGGAACTTAACCTGCTGTATAAGCGGGACCCTCCTGTACAGCAGTAACCCGGAACTTAACCTGCTGTATAAGCGGGACCCTCCTGTACAGCAGTAACCTGGAACTTAACCTGCTGTATAAGCGGGACCCTCCTGTACGTATATCTGGGACAGGGGCAGTTACTTGTGTAAGTGGAACTTTGGGGTTTCAATTGTTATTTTAAATATAGTTGGGAAAGATTTTGTTTCTTATAATTTGTTGAATATTGTTGTAATAGTGGAGGATAATTACCTTTTTATTAATGGTGGTGTATTACCTGCTTTCCTGTGTATTAATGGTGGTGTATTACCTGCTTTCCTGTGTATTAATGGTGGTGTATTACCTGCTTTCCTGTGTATTAATGGTGGTGTATTACCTGCTTTCCTGTGTATTAATGATGGTGTATTAGCTGCTTTCCTGTGTATTAATGGTGGTGTATTACCTGCTTTCCTGTGTTTTAATGATGGTGTATTACCTGCTTTCCTGTGTATTAATGATGGTGTATTAGCTGCTTTCCTGTGTATTAATGGTGGTGTATTACCTGCTTTCCTGTGTATTAATGGTGGTGTATTACCTGCTTTCCTGTGTATTAATGGTGGTGTATTAGCTAGGTTTCCTGTGTATTAGTGGTGGTGTATTAGCTGTTTTCCTGTGTATTGGTGGTGGTGTATTAGGTATGTTTCCTGTGTATTAGTGGTGGTGTATTAGGTAGGTTTCCTGTGTGTTAGTGGTGGTGCATTAGGTTTCCTGTGTATTAGTGGTGGTGTATTAGCTAGGTTTCCTGTGTGTTAGTGGTGGTGCATTAGGTAGGTTTCCTGTGTATTAGTGGTGGTGCATTAGGTTTCCTGTGTATTAGTGGTGGTGTATTAGCTAGGTTTCCTGTGCATTAGTGGTGGTGTATTAGCTAGGTTTCCTGTGTATTAGTGGTGGTGTATTAGCTAGGTTTCCTGTGTATTAGTGGTGGTGTATTAGCTAGGTTTCCTGTGTATTAGTGGTGGTGTATTAGCTAGGTTTCCTGTGCATTAGTGGTGGTGTATTAGCTAGGTTTCCTGTGTATTAGTGGTGGTGTATTAGCTAGGTTTCCTGTGTATTAGTGGTGGTGTATTAGCTAGGTTTCCTGTGTATTATTGGTGGTGTATTAGCTAGGTTTCCTGTGTATTAGTGGTGGTGTATTAGCTAGGTTTCCTGTGTATTAGTGGTGGTGTATTAGCTAGGTTTCCTGTGTATTAGTGGTGGTGTATTAGCTAGGTTTCCTGTGTATTAGTGGTGGTGTATTAGCTAGGTTTCCTGTGTATTAGTGGTGGTGTATTAGCTAGGTTTCCTGTGTATTAGTGGTGGTGTATTAGCTAGGTTTCCTGTGTATTAGTGGTGGTGTATTAGCTAGGTTTCCTGTGTATTAGTGGTGGTGTATTAGCTAGGTTTCCTGTGTATTAGTAGTGGTGTATTAGCTAGGTTTCCTGCCTTGTTTTTCAGTGAATATATTTTATATGTAACTTCAGTAGGTTTAGTTGTGGTAAACATAGAAAGGTTGAGAAATTTCCAGGAAGGTAATCGCTAGTCTGGACAGCAGGATTTGTGATTTTGTTAGCTAGGCTTAATCCTAGTGTTGAGAAGAAATCATTTACATTTCCCTTTTAGTTTGGTAAGTATTAATGACTGATTTTTGGACTGTTCTTTGGGTGTTAATTCCAGTATGTATTGTTTCTCATATGTGTTTGTTAGTGGAACCGAGTATGCTGTTTGTTAGCCATGGGTTATGTAGTCTATTTTCTGTGACCTGCTTGGTTAAGGCAATGTTTATTTGTGGTGGAAAACACAGACAAGTGTTATGGTTGTCAGTAAACTCTCTGTGTCAGTCAGTGTCACTGACTGCTCTTATTTACTGGTATATTGTCATGGAGATGGAATGAGAACTTACAAGCTTCGAGTGGGAGTTTATCTGTATTAGTTACGAGGGAAGGTGGTGTAGTGATAAGTCTGTGATTATCCCTGCTCTGAGAGTAGCTGTTATGTTAGTTACGAGGGAAGGTGTTGTGATCAGTATTGTTGTCTGTGATTATCCCTGCTCTGAGAGTAGCTGTTATGTTAGTTACGAGGGAAGGTGTTGTGATCAGTATTGTTGTCTGTGATTATCCCTGCTCTGAGAGGAGCTGTTATGTTAGTTACGAGGGAAGGTGTTGTGATCAGTATTGTTGTCTGTGATTATCCCTGCTCTGAGAGTAGCTGTTATGTTAGTTACGAGGGAAGGTGTTGTGATCAGTATTGTTGTCTGTGATTATCCCTGCTCTGAGAGGAGCTGTTATGTTAGTTACGAGGGAAGGTGTTGTGATCAGTATTGTTGTCTGTGATTATCCCTTCTCTGAGAGGAGCTGTTATGTTAGTTACGAGGGAAGGTGTTGTGATCAGTAGTGTTGTCTGTGATTATCCCTGCTCTGAGAGGAGCTGTTATGTTAGTTACGAGGGAAGGTGTTGTGATCAGTATTGTTGTCTGTGATTATCCTGCTCTGAGAGGAGCTGTTATGTTAGTTACGAGGGAAGGTGTTGTGATCAGTATTGTTGTCTGTGATTATCCCTGCTCTGAGAGGAGCTGTTATGTTAGTTACGAGGGAAGGTGTTGTGATCAGTATTGTTGTCTGTGATTATCCCTGCTCTGAGAGGAGCTGTTATGTTAGTTACGAGGGAAGGTGTTGTGATCAGTATTGTTGTCTGTGATTATCCCTGCTCTGAGAGGAGCTGTTATGTTAGTTACGAGGGAAGGTGTTGTGATCAGTATTGTTGTCTGTGATTATCCCTGCTCTGAGAGGAGCTGTTATGTTAGTTACGAGGGAAGGTGTTGTGATCAGTATTGTTGTCTGTGATTATCCCTGCTCTGAGAGTAGCTGTTATATTAGTTACGAGGGAAGGTGTTGTGATCAGTATTGTTGTCTGTGATTATTCTAGCTTTGACAGGAGGTATTACGTTGGTCCAGAAGTGGTCAAGTGAAGATACAGTTGTCTCAGGTATTGTTGTGGTCTTAGTGATGATATTACCAAGCAGCTGTACATGTTGTTTCAGGAAGTCAACTAACCTTTGTCTTATAACTGGATGAGGTTAATGAAGTCTCCAGCAATCATTAGGTGATGTTTAATTTATTAATAAGTCTTAAAGGTTGCCATTGAAGGTGACAGAACTAGTATATGGTAACCTGTAGACAGTTCCAATCATTGGGGCCAGCTATTGGACCAGTTATTGAACCCAGGTCATCCCTGGTACATGTTGGACTTCTTAATTCATTATGGCAGTAGACTGCAGTTCCTCCTCCCAGTAGATCAAGCCTCCACTTGTGAACTGATTGTCTACCCAGATAAGCTAAACATGTCTAGTGTTGTGTTTAAGACAAGTTTACCTCAAAAGATTACACAGGCATATAATTGGTCCACGGACTGTCCCGCAAAGTTTTGGCAGCTGAACAAGTTACACTGGTAATGAACAAGTTACACTGGTAATGAATAACTTACAATGGTAATGAACAATTTACAGTGGTAATGAAGTTACAATGGTAATGAACAAGTTACACTGGTAATGAATAACTTACAATGGTAATGAACAATTTACAGTGGTAATGAAGTTACAATGGTAATGAACAAGTTACACTGGTAATGAATAACTTACAATGGTAATGAACAATTTACAGTGGTAATGAAGTTACAATGGTAATGAGCAAGTTACAATGGTAATAAACAAGTTACAGTGGTAATAAACAAGTTACAATGGTAATAAACAAGTTACAATGGTAATGAACAAGTTACAATGGTAATGAACAAGTTACACTGGTAATAAACAAGTTACACTGGTAATAAACAAGTTACACTGGTAATAAACAAGTTACAATGGTAATGAACAAGTTACAATGGTAATGAACAAGTTACACTGGTAATAAACAAGTTACACTGGTAATAAACAAGTTACACTGGTAATAAACAAGTTACAATGGTAATGAACAAGTTACAATGGTAATAAACAAGTTACAGTGGTAATAAGTTACAGTGGTAATAAACAAGTTACAGTGGTAATAAACAAGTTACAATGGTAATAAACAAGTTACAGTGGTAATAAACAAGTTACAGTGGTAATAAACAAGTTACACTGGTAATAAACAAGTTACAATGGTAATAAACAAGTTACAATGGTAATAAACAAGTTACAGTGGTAATAAACAAGTTACAATGGTAATAAACAAGTTACAATGGTAATAAACAAGTTACAATGGTAATAAACAAGTTACAATGGTAATAAACAAGTTACACTGGTAATAAACAAGTTACAATGGTAATAAACTATTTACATGTTTATATCTGGTTACAAAAGTAATGAATTATTTATGCAGACATGACTCAGGTCACACACACGTCAAAAATAAAAGTACTAATGCGTTATTTATAGTGAGCAAAGTCAGGTTTGTTTTGTTCCACAGTGGAATGTAATATACCACTGTGGAGAAAATACTTGGACATTTCTTGAACTGCAAGGTAACTATATTCTTCAGTTCGAGGCCACACAACTCTTCAGACATGAAACTAAGACTGGCTTATTATCGTAAGTCAGATACTAGCACACGTGGCACCTCTGCCACCCCCTACACCTGCACCTCCTACACCTGCCACCTCCTACACCTGCACCTCCTACACCTCCTGCATCTCCTGCCACCTCCTACACCTGCACCTCCTGCCACCTCCTACACCTGCACCTCCTACACCTCCTGCATCTCCTACACCTCCTACACCTGCACCTCCTGCATCTCCTGCCACCTCCTACACCTGCACCTCCTACACCTCCTGCATCTCCTACACCTCCTGTACCTCCTATACCTGTTACACCTGCACCTCCTACACCTCCTGCATCTCCTGCCACCTTCTACACCTGCACCTGCATCTCCTGCCACCTCCTACACCTGCACCTGCATCTCCTGCCATCTCCTACACCTGCACCTACTATATCTCCTGCCACCTCCTACACCTGCATCTCCTGCCACCTCCTACACCTGCACCTACTATATCTCCTGCTACCTCCTACACCTGCATCTCCTGCCACCTCCTGCACCTCCGACGACTCTTATGTTGCAAGTATGGTGAGCCAGGCTGACCATACTTGAGTTGCAAGACTGAGTGTTGTTGGGAGACTACCAAAACAAACAAGGTCAAGTGAGATTCTGACCGCGTGTTCTATTCCCCCCCGTGGTATGGTTTATAATTGCACTATTTTATGTTCATCTGTTGTTATTGTTGCTTGACCCTTGCGGCTTTAGCGCTTAGTTTTGATGATAATAATAATAATAATAATAATAATAATAATAATAGTTAATGCATAATCAGAGTGACTGCTCTTTAGAATTCTTACATCTAATCTGAGAATCCTGGCAGGTAGTCCCAAAATCCTGTTAGGATTTATGGACTGACTACCTGACACCCTGAGCAGCCTCGTGCAGACAGAAGTTTACAAACATTACTAATTTAGCATAGTTTGTAAAGTCAGCCTCGAGTACTCGACCATGTCTTCCTAACAGTCCTTCAGACTAACATTGTACACTTGCTTCAGTTCTAATTGAAATTATATTTTTGTATTTCAAACCACTGTTTAAAATATGCAATTATTAGATAAGCCATAGATGCAGAGGACTTTGGGTAAACTTAGACTAGTATTAAGACTAGAAGATTTTTGATCTTTATTACAAAGTATTAACAGGGAGTTACAAACGTAGTTATAAAATAAAAGTTATAAGATTATTTCTTAAGAACAAAAACTTGTAATGGACTGGTTGTAAAAGGCTGAGTGTCACCAGTATCATTATAATGTCTAGCTCCATTCTCACTGTAATAATGATCTCTCATTATCATTATTATTGTTTTCAGAAAGTCTTGTTTGTGAGACTTTATGAAAGTTCTTTTTTAAAACAATTATGTAAGAAATAAGTGTGATTATTATTATTATATTGAGAATGACAAGAAGACTCAGCAGAATATATGAACAGTAACATTCTTCTTTCTGGTGTGTTACTGTTGTTGGTGAGGTGGAAATAAATAAATGTTGATGGAGAGGAGCTTGTGGGAGTGTTGTAGGAGGAGTGGAACAGACAGAGCAGGACACCAACACTGTACCTGACACGTCCTGCAGAGTGACATCAGCGCCAGGTTCAAGTACCAGGCTCGCCTTAGGATGGTCACGTGATGTAGGGAACTTGACCTTGTCGAGTATGTTGCCGCTGGATGACATTACCAGAGCACCTGCTGGAACCTTGTCGATCACACTGTCCAATAAGAGGAGCTTGGCGTACTCCTTGATGTGAAGTCTCTCAAGGTGTGTGATGGTGGTGTTATGTACCTTAACAAATACATCTCCACGAACCTCATCCACCTTGAACACTCTTATACTCGAGCCAATGATCCTCAGCTGCTCCTTGACACTCTTCAGACTCACCTCTCTTACTTTTGAATTAAGGGCATACAGGTCAGCCACAGGGTCACCCAGGAAGTCGAGGGTAACATTGCGGAGTGAGACCCTCATGCTTGAGCAAGAAGTGGATGGTTGTGCCTTCAGTTGAGCATCAGCGACACTGTAGAGTTCCAAATCGCAGAAACCTGAGTAGTCAAGGGTGAGGTGATGGAGGCGTTTGATAAATATCTTCTCTTCATCTTGTTTCGCCCTCAACGACACATTCTTTTGGAAAAATAATCAGTATTACAAAGAGTTAGAGGTTCTCCTGATGACTTAGCTTATTTCAGAAAATTAAAAGCTTGAGGAACAATCTGCAGAATAGGGTAATAGAGGCTAAGACGCTTGGTAGCTTTAAAAGGAGATTAGACAACATATAGGAGTCTTTATTAAGGAAACTTGTCGCCACACAGTGGCTTCATCAGTCCAATGAAGAAGAAGGTGGAAAAAGAGGAGTTTCAGGTAATCAGTCCCTCAGCCTGGAATCGATGTGTTCAGTCCATCACTCTTGCAGAAAGTACAGCAAATGGCCGGAGAAGTGGCCATATGCCGCCTCCTCCTGCTTCGACTCACTTGTCTACATTATATAAGCCACTTATCCGACCATATGCTGTTCTTTCTACAAGATTGATGGACTGAACACATCGATTCCAGGCTGGGACTGATTACCTCAAACTCCTCCTCTTTTTTCACCTTCTACATTGGACTGAAGAAGTCACTGTGTGGCGAAACGCTTCCAGAATAAAGATACCCAAATGTTGCAAAAGTGTCTCATTTATCAAGTACATTCATCTTCGTGCTTCCACAACTCTTAAATTTCATAGTAGACATGCTCATACTAATTTAAATTTTATTTTCCCTAAAGGGAGACGAATACTTAATGAACCTTGGAACAAAAAACATCTGTAACCATAGCCATAACTTAGGATCCTGGGTCAGTGACGTACCCACGTCAAGCCTGCCTGGGTCAGTGACGTACCCACGTCAAGCCTGCCTGGGTCAGTGACGTACCCACGTCAAGCCTGCCTGGGTCAGTGATGTACCCACCTCAAGCCTGCCTGGGTCAGTGACGTACCCACGTCAAGCCTGCCTGGGTCAGTGATGTACCTACGTCAAGCCTGCCTGGGTCAGTGATGTACCCACGTCAAGCCTGCCTGGGTCAGTGACGTACCCACGTCAAGCCTGCCTGGGTCAGTGATGTACCTACGTCAAGCCTGCCTGGGTCAGTGATGCACCCACGTCAAGGCTGCCTGGGTCAGTGATGTACCCACGTCAAGGCTGCCTGGGTCAGTGATGCACCCACGTCAAGGCTGCCTGGGTCAGTGACGTACCTACGTCAAGCCTGCCTGGGTCAGTGATGTACCCACGTCAAGACTGCCTGGGTCAGTGATGTACCCACGTCAAGCCTGCCTGGGTCAGTGATGTACCCACGTCAAGCCTGCCTGGGTCAGTGACGTACCTACGTCAAGCCTGCCTGGGTCAGTGACGTACCTACGTCAAGCCTGTCTGGGTCAGTGATGTACCTATGTCAAGCTTGTCTGGGTCAGTGATGTGCCTACGTCAAGCCTGCCTGGGTCAGTGACGTACCTACGTCAAGCCTGCCTGGGTCAGTGATGTACCTACGTCAAGCCTGCCTGGGTCAGTGATGTACCCACGTCAAGGCTGCCTGGGTCAGTGATGTACCCACGTCAAGGCTGCCTGGGTCAGTGATGCACCCACGTCAAGGCTGCCTGGGTCAGTGACGTACCTACGTCAAGCCTGCCTGGGTCAGTGATGTACCCACGTCAAGACTGCCTGGGTCAGTGATGTACCTACGTCAAGCCTGCCTGGGTCAGTGATGTACCCACGTCAAGCCTGCCTGGGTCAGTGACGTACCTACGTCAAGCCTGCCTGGGTCAGTGACGTACCTACGTCAAGCCTGTCTGGGTCAGTGATGTACCTATGTCAAGCCTGTCTGGGTCAGTGATGTGCCTACGTCAAGCCTGCCTGGGTCAGTGACGTACCTACGTCAAGCCTGCCTGGGTCAGTGATGTACCTACGTCAAGCCTGCCTGGGTCAGTGATGTACCTACGTCAAGCCTGCCTGGGTCAGTGATGTACCTACGTCAAGCCTGCCTGGGTCAGTGATGTACCCACGTCAAGCCTGCCTGGGTCAGTGATGTACCCACGTCAAGCCTGCCTGGGTCAGTGATGTACCCACGTCAAGCCTGCCTGGGTCAGTGATGTACCCACGTCAAGCCTGCCTGGGTCAGTGATGTACCCACGTCAAGCCTGCCTGGGTCAGTGATGTACCCACGTCAAGCCTGCCTGGGCCAGTGACGTACCTACGTCAAGCCTGCCTGGGTCAGTGACGTACCTACGTCAAGCCTGTCTGGGTCAGTGATGTACCTACGTCAAGCCTGCCTGGGTCAGTGATGTACCTACGTCAAGCCTGCCTGGGTCAGTGACGTACCTACGTCAAGCCTGCCTGGGTCAGTGATGTACCTACGTCAAGCCTGCCTGGGTCAGTGACGTACCTACGTCAAGCTGCCTGGGTCAGTGATGTACCTACGTCAAGCCTGCCTGGGTCAGTGATGTACCTACGTCAAGCCTGCCTGGGTCTGTGATGTACCCACGTCAAGCCTGCCTGGGTCAGTGATGTACCCACGTCAAGCCTGCCTGGGTCAGTGATGTACCTACGTCAAGCCTGCCTGGGTCAGTGATGTACCTACGTCAAGCCTGCCTGGGTCAGTGATGTACCTACGTCAAGCCTGCCTGGGTCAGTGATGTACCTACGTCAAGCCTGCCTGGGTCAGTGATGTACCCACGTCAAGCCTGCCTGGGTCAGTGATGTACCTACGTCAAGCCTGCCTGGGTCAGTGACGTACCTACGTCAAGCCTGCCTGGGTCAGTGATGTACCCACGTCAAGCCTGCCTGGGTCAGTGATGTACCCACGTCAAGCCTGCCTGGGTCAGTGACGTACCTACGTCAAGCCTGCCTGGGTCAGTGATGTACCCACGTCAAGCCTGCCTGGGTCAGTGACGTACCTACGTCAAGCCTGCCTGGGTCAGTGACGTACCTACGTCAAGCCTGCCTGGGTCAGTGATGTACCTACGTCAAGCCTGCCTGGGTCAGTGACGTACCTACGTCAAACCTGTCTGGGTCAGTGATGTACCCACGTCAAGCCTGCCTGGGTCAGTGACGTACCTACGTCAAGCCTGCCTGGGTCAGTGACGTACCTACGTCAAGCCTGCCTTGGTCAGTGACGTACACATGTCAAGCGTGCCTGGGTCAGTGACGTACCCACCAAGCGTGCCTGGGTCAGTGACGTACCCACGTCAAGCCTGCCTTGGTCAGTGACGTACACATGTCAAGCGTGCCTGGGTCAGTGACGTACCCACATCAAGCGTGCCTGGGTCAGTGACGTACCTACGTCAAGCCTGCCTTGGTCAGTGACGTACACATGTCAAGCGTGCCTGGGTCAGTGACGTACCCACATCAAGCGTGCCTGGGTCAGTCAGGCCTCCAATCTTATAGATTAAACCCCGTTGTAGATGACTGGTTCAGAGAACCAACAAGTTAATAAATTAGACACATGTGCAACACTTATCAGGTGTTATTTCTGGCTCTCAAAAGGAGTTCAAATGCCATGAAAAGGTTCTCCCTCGTTAATCGTCATTCAGTCAGTATGTGGACAAGTACCACAACCAGAGGAACACCCGAGTAATGTGGTCACAAGAGCAAGCAGCTGGTGGACTTACCAGACACCAAAACCAGGATATCTTCGAAGTACTAATTTATATTCAATTGTATTTTTAACCTGTAAGACATTAATAGTGGTAGGTATAACGAGGTAAACCTGGAAGGTACTCTTCTAGGCAGAACATTGCCCATAAGAGGTGAGCCTAGGACTGACAGCTTCTCTGTCCTCTTTAATTCGTGTACCTCGGTGTTGGAACGTACCGGATCTCGAACCCGAGTCCGAACAGTTTTGTTCAGAAAAAAATGAACCGGTCTTTCAACGTTTTTCTGGAGTCCGAACTCGCTGACTTGTTTAAAATTGAGTTGTAAAAAAAAAACTTTACAGGAAAGTCCTGTTTCAAAAGTGCTTTGAAGTGACCTCTGATACTGACCTGACTCTTAGAAGCTTTTGGAAGAGTCGGTTCAACATCCTCCGGTGTGTAAGACTGATAATTAAAGCCAGGGAAATACTGTTTCGGACATCGACCTTTTCCCACTTCGAACACTACCTAGGATTATTATAATCATGGGAGATAATACAGCGCCTGGGGGGATATGGGAGGTATTCAGGGTCAATTTAAGGAACTGGAGCACAGATCCAATTCCCTAGATCAAGAGCCCCTCACCAGCGTCAAAGAACCTCTCTTGAGGGGCCACCACTTTGGAACCAATTAAGTTCAAACACCCAGGTTCCACTATATGTTTATTATATGACAGGACATTAAATAGTTAAATATTTACTAAGCACCAGTGAATATCAGTGTAATTAAACTTAAAGGATCCTTGAAATACAGTTAAGTCCTCTGTAGGACCTTGGTGTTAATACATCAGAGGAGCTACAATCCTCGTATTAATTAATTACAAGTCCATCGGTGATATAAGTGATGTGTGTAGATGAGTGCAGTAGAAGGATATAGTGGAGTGTGCACCGGCTGTATGTAAGTCCCTTTAGGACAGGGTATAATTCACATTAATCCTAGTCTAATTCCTCACATGACCAGTGTTGGTGCCGGAGTTTGTCTCCCTAATGTAAACACTTGTCATATCCTTTACTTTATTGTTGAAAATGGCATAAAATACCGATAAATTTAGGATTAAGAAACATGTGCAACAGTTGGGTATCTTTATTGTTGACACGTCTCGCCTACACAGCAGGCTTCTTCAGTCAAATATAAAGGGAGCAGAAGAAATGAAATAAAGATGTAATCAATCCATCAACCTTGGAGAAAAAGTATTTGAGGTAGTCAGTCCCTCAGCTGAGGGACTGACCACCTCAAAACTAGGTCTTCAAGGGTGGTGGACTAATTACATCGTCTTCATATCTCTACTGCTTCTGCTGCCTCTTCTGTACTCGACTGAAGAATCCTACTGTGTAGGCGAAACGTTTCGGAATAAAGATACCTTACTGTTGCGCATATGTCTTTTCAACTTGTCAGTACTGTATACCATTAACATTCACTAAGCTGGAGGAGTTGAGTGTATGAACACAAACTTTCACAGAGTTGGCAGCCCCTTTTAAGTTGGCAGCCACTTCTAAGTTGGCAGCCACTTCTAAGTTGGCAGCCACTTATTGGCTCTAAGGAAAGCCACAATAGTATACTGCTGGCATGTTCTGGACTCTGGTCTGAGCTTTAAGTGTTGAGTAAAAGTGGCTTGGCCCTAGACAAGGTGATTGTTTCATGGGAATGTCTAGTGTCTGGACGTAAGAATAGTCACTGCATCTTATCTGACAACAACAGCACAAGATCAGGAATTACACAGCACAAAGCAACTTTGTACTTATATTTTAAATTTCCCTACCGGCCCTGTGATCTGACTCATTCCTTGACCTGTCTTCTAACTCCTGACCTGTCCTCCCATGCGCTGACCTGATACTCCCCCTCATGCACGACGAGGGGTGCAGCCTTCCCCATTAATTCATGTCCTCATTTCACTTGTGAATCTGCTGAAGAGGATCCCACAAGGGGATCGAATTATACAGATCAGTTAATCTTCTGAGTTTCTGTCTCCATGTGAGTTATTACTGAACACTGACAAGTGTTCATTATACTACTTTAATTATCCATGTATACTAAGTCTAACGATTAGCAGACAGGGATCGAACCCCCACAATTGCTTGCGCTTAATGGCTCACACGGGTTTAGTGGTTCACATGAAAGTAAATAAAACGTATCCAGAGTGTAATAAGAGTCAATATTACGTGTTTTTAGGGAGACGTGCAAAATATACTGCATATTCCTGTTTTACGTGTTTTGACCCCATCATTAAGTCATTACTCTATTTTTACTCTTCTTGAGGACACATTCTCTCCAAGGTGTAAATCACTCATTTGTTGTTTCATATGGTAATAATTTGTTAATGTAGGTTAATATATGTTAACTTAAACAACATAAAATAATCTACCCAAACTGATCAGAAATGTAGGTAAGGCAGTTCGTCAGATAATGTATTGTATAAGTTGTGGAGTACGACACATGTGCAACAGTTGGGTGGCTTTATTGTCAAACGTTTCGCCTACACAGTAGACTTCTTCAGTCTAGTACAGAAGACTTATCAGAAGCAGTAGAGATGTGAAGACGATGTAATTAGTCCATCACCCTTGAAGACGTAGTCTGAGGTGGTCACTCCCTCAGGGACTGACCACCTCAAAAGATACCTAACTGTTGTACATGTGTCGTACTTATCAACCTGTTGGTATTGTAGACCATTTTCATATTCGCTGCAAGTTGTATCATGTACTTATAGAAATAAAGATTATTATTATTATTGGAGAACAGGTTGGCCCATCTGGCTCTGTCTTGCCTACTTGAACTTTCAAATCAGACCAAACACCATACGTGACCCCCATGAGTTCACAGGAACAATGTACCTCCTTGAGGAAGTAAACCTTGACTCTGTGGTGCAGCTCTAAAAAACACACACTACAGTGCCCAACAGGTGAGCTCTTCCCAGCTCTAGAACACACACACTACAGTGCCCAACACGTGAGCTCTTCCCAGCTCTAGAATACACACTACAGTGCCCAACACGTGAGCTCTTCCCAGCTCTAGAACACACACACTACAGTGCCCAACAGGTGAGCTCTTCCCAGCTCTAGAACACACACACTACAGTGCCTAACAGGTGAGCTCTTCCCAGCTCTAGAACACACACACTACAGTGCCCAACACGTGAGCTCTTCCCAGCTCTAGAACACACACACTACAGTGCCCAACAGGTGAGCACTTCCCAGCTCTAGAACACACACACTACACACTACAGTGCCCAACAGGTGAGCTCTTCCCAGCTCTAGAACACATACACTACAGTGCCCAACAGATGAGCTCTTCCCAGCTCTAGAACACACACACACTACAGTGCCCAACACGTGAGCTCTTCCCAGCTCTAGAACACACACACTACAGTGCCCAACAGGTGAGCTCTTCCCAGCTTTAGCACACACACTACGGAGCCCAACAAGTGAGCTCTTCCCAGCTCTAGAACACACACTACAGTGCCCAACAGGTGAGCTCTTCCCAGCTCTAGAACACATACACTACAGTGCCCAACAGGTGAGCTCTTCCCAGCTCTAGAATACACACTGCGGAGCCCAACAGGTGAGCTCTTCCCAGCTCTAGAACACATACACTACAGTGCCCAACACGTGAGCTCTTCCCACCTCTAGAACACACACACTACAGTGCCCAACAGGTGAGCTCTTCCCAGCTCTAGAACACACACACTACAGTGCCCAACAGGTGAGCTCTTCCCAGCTCTAGAACACACACACTACAGTGCCCAACAGATGAGCTCTTCCCAGCTCTAGAACACACACACTACAGTGCTCAACAGATGAGCTCTTCCCAACTCTAGAACACACACTACAGTGCCCAACAGATGAGCTCTTCAGAGCTCCAATATCCTCAAGTTGTCCTTACATTCATACCTTGACATTGTATCTGTCACTGGTACTATCAGCCAGTGCCTCTATCTGTCACTGGTACTATCAGCCAGTGCCTCTATCTGTCACTGGTACTATCAGCCAGTGCCTCTATCTGTCACTGGTACTATCAGCCAGTGCCTCTATCTGTCACTGGTACTATCAGCCAGCGCCTCTATCTGTCCCGTAGTTCGATTGCTAGCGCACTCAGCTCACACACTGAGGTCCGTGGCTCGATCCCCGGTGCGGGTGCAAACATTAGGACGTGTTTTCTTAAGACACCTGCTGTCCCTGTTCACCTATCAGTAAAATAGGTACCTGGGTGTTATTCGACTGGTCGCATCCTGGGGACAAAATTGACCTAATCTGCGGGAAATGCTCTGCATAACAAGGGGTTTTCTATATAGTAGTATGTCACTGATGTCAGCTATGGTCTGTATACCTTGTACATGTACTTGTAGAAATAAAGATTATTATTAGTAGTAGTAGTAGCAGTTCTGTCAGCCAGTGACTATTTGCCACTGCCTGTATCGCATATTAGGCTGATTCTTTACAGCTTTCTATAGCTACCAGCTGATGTCTGAGACTTAATACTGTCACACTTTATTAGGTGTAACATGCAGAGAGATACCTTGTTATGTCTAAAAAAACAAATGACCTACGTCTCACTCCAGTCATAAGACTTACCTGTTCTTCCCAGTTGTAATCACAGTCTATCATCGAATTCGTGTATTTGCAGTATCTGGAGTTCCGGTTCACTGATTCAAGTTGGTTCGTCGGTACACTCCTCCTCTCTTTCATCGACATGGAATTTGAATCTCCTAAAGTAGCATCGTCTTCCAGAACGGTGTTGAGGGGCACCGCCTTAAACAGCGGTAGTGCCATGGTGATGGTAATGAAGGTGGTGAAACAAGTCATGTGTACCTACAAAGATAAATTATGTAAATAATTGGAGTTAAATAACGTTTATTGATGACATTATTATTATTATTAAGAAAATATTTTTACTGTCATTCATTCAATGACTGTCTTGCCAGAAACTCGCTGACATCACACTTCAGATGACCCATCACACTGCAACATCCCCCACTCATCCTTCAGAGTGCAGACACTGTACTTCTCGTCTCTAGGACTCGAGTCTGGCTAACCGGGTTCCCTGAATCTCTTCATAAATGTTACATTCCAACACCACTTGCCCCCACACCTATTATTATTATTATTAGAAATTATTTAGGAAACGTTAAACCTATTGGAGAAATACACACATTGCAATAAGAAGTAATCAGGTTTGAGGTAAGGAAGGGAAGGATAGTTCCACTTCTTTAGATCAAGAAAATATACTGAGAAACGTAGACGAACCTCCAAAACACTAGTTCCTCGCATCATTATATCAAAATAACATTTCCTTGTCGAGGTAAACACAGCCTTCGTCAATAAAATCATGTCTACAATAATCTCGTCCAACTCTCTGAAGGTTTGCCTCTGCAACTTCTACTACTAAAAGTGACGGTTTGACGGATATAATAATGATAACTTGGGTTCTTGTATTTATCCCAAGTGAAAATTTTCAGGGATGGAAACTGTCTCCAAGAATTTGGGATTTCCATCGTAGGTGAGAGAAGGTCGCTAGAGATTATTCTGGATGTCAGTGGATTGGCTGAAATGTTACTCTGAGCAAACTAGTGTGAATGGATTTACTAAAGAACAAAAGGCACAATACTGTGCT